ATTGATAACTGATCCATCTGTATAAAAGTTAAAAGTATTATAAGTAGAGTTTGATAATGAAATTTTAATTAATTTGTCTGTTTTGTTACTAGGATAAAAGATTTCAGATGCAGCTGAATGAGAGATAGGGATATATGGTAGTATATGGGGTGAGGTTGGAGAAATTGGATATTTAATAGCTGCAGAAAAGATAAGGTCCATAATTTGATTATAGTGTTTTTCGTATATAATAAATTTATTCAAAGATTCAAGAACATTTTCTAATTCAAGATAATATTTAACTAAAAGATTTACTTTTTTAATAACTTTTAATTCTGTTGCACCTCGTATCTTTTGTTTTTTTTTAATTTCACATTCAATTAATTGAAGGTCTGTATCTTTATATTTTTTTACTAAATTTTTAAATAAGCATTTTAAATTTTCTGTATCTGATAGAGCATTATCTTCTTCTATTATTTTTATTATTTCTGTTATATTTGTTGTTTTTGTTGTTTCTACTATTTCTATTATTTCTGCTGTTTTTGTTATTTCTGTTGCTTCTGTTGTTTTTGCTGTCTTTGTTATTTTTACAATTTCTGCTATTTCCATTGGTTCCATTATTAAAATTTTAATAAATTTAATAAGTTTTTAATAAAATTATTAAAAAACAATTGTTATAAATTAAATTATAAATTCTTTTTGTAATATTTTTATAATTTTAACAAATTTATTATTTATATTTTATAATAAATATAAATATGATCAACAGATTTTATTAAAATAATATATTTATATTGAATCTTTGACCAAAAATGTATTGTAATAAAATTTACTAAAAACTAACAAGCTGTAGCAAATTTTAAAAGACACAAGTATCAAGTGGAAGATCTTTTATTTAAAGAAAATAAAAAAAAGAAAGAATAATAAAGAAAATATAAAACAGGATTTAAATTCAATAGCCTTCTAGATACTATAAGGCGATTAGCAATAGACAATTGTGTTTAGGGTTAAACCTATTAGCTAGTTTGTATAGGTCAGGTATAGCAAATGCTTGCCCTTTACAAGGATTATTAGACTTTAAAACTTAGAAATATCCTTAGATATAACTAGAGAAAAGAAAGCACTAATAACCAGACTGTCAACAGCTATATGTGGTCTTTAAATCCTAATAATATAAAGCTAGTATTTGCCAAAATACTATTAACAAAGTCAGCTTTCACTTTATATTATTATCAAGAAAAAAATAAAAAATAATAAAAAAAAGATAAAATAAATAAAATAAAAAGATAAGCAATAGTTTTTATTGATAGTGTTAAGAAAATAATAGATAAAATATAATTTTATTAAAGGTATTTTAGGTAAAGACAGGACTGCTTTTTAGAAAAGCAAAAAGCTACCCTTTTTATAGCTTTTTAGACCAATATTCAATTGGTTTTAAGGCTATCATGTGTTGTAGAATATTTTTAGATACTCCAAAACGTTTGGAAAGCCTTGGCAATATAGAAAATTCAAGTAGAATCTCCTAAAACACCAATAAACAACACCGAGCCAATGCTGAGTAGAATTATATTTATCAATACTCGGTACTCTATTACTCAATAAGTTACATATTAACTAAAAATAAAACACATATCATTGTGTAGCCCTCATGTTGATCTACAACTCCTATTATAGTTATTTGATATTTAGGAGCCTCTTTCAACGTGTTGTCCTATAGCTATCTAAAAATAACTATAATAAAATATAAGAAATATATAGAAAAAGATACTAAAAATATAATATATACTAAAATAATAATAAGAAATAATAACTAACTATAATATACAAATAAAATATAATAATAACTAATAAAAAAAATAAAGAAAAAAAAATTCTATTACAGTATTTACAATCATGCAATCAAACAATAATCAGATGATTATATAGTGACAACAATTAATCAGTATTTTGTACAGACTAGTATTTTTAAAGATTCGAATCCGATCCAAAATACAGATTATTAGGATTTTTTTGTCAGGATTATAACCTGTCGGGATTTCACATATCGGATTTTGATCCAAATCTGGTTTAATTATATTTATTACAGTCTATCAATTACAAATAAACTATAAACTACATATATATATGCCAAATTATTTGAGTTAAATAAAAATATCAATCATATCGGAATTGGCTAAACGAGTTATTTTTATACCACCTACTTCTGCTGAAAGCAAAAATCCTGGTCATTTATTGTAAATATCTATTCAGCACAGTGTAACAAGCTCATAAATGAACGTGCAACAAAAAATAACATACATTCGATAGCATATTGCACAAGAAAAAAATAATTTACATCAAATTGTTCAGAATAAAAAAAATAGGTTTGATAAATCGTTCAAACTAATGCAACTAATTCTAGTCTTGAAAATACCACATCGAATATTGAAGAAAATATAATGCAAACAATTAAAAAAATATTGATAATTTTAATACTAATGATCAAATTATATATAATGAAGCCATAATTGAATCTACTATTCAAGCTATACATAGTTTATGATGTGTTCACTACTTATACTTTCTTTGAATCTCACCATTCCTTTAATTTTACTTTTAATTTAGATCCTATTTACCTAAAAACTATGCTACAAATTGGACCAGTTGTCTAGGAGCGGGGGCCTAAAGGGGGTTACCTAGAGATAGTAAAAAAAAGTTTTAAAACTTTTTTTAAAACATCAAAGTCGAAAATAAAACTTTTTTGAAAATGAAAATATTGCTTCTGATTAATTTTAATTGTCAGCAAAAAAATTTTTTTTAAAAAAAACAATGCTATATAATTTTGAATTTATTATATATATTTGATCACTTTAATTTTATCAATTATATTTTTAACTATATAAATTTGCTATCAGCCAAATACAATCTTTTATTTGGTATTAGTTTTACGTTTGTAGTATTAAGAGTTCAAGTTTACAGTAATATCACACTATGTAGACCTCATTAAATAAGTTGTTGCGAATAAATTATTTGAAGATTAGAAGGAATCCAATAAATAAATAATTTATCCTTCTCATATTAATCCAATCGCATATGTCACTTGAAATAGAATCATGTAAATCTCATATTGCGTGGAAGTTTTTTAATCGATCAAGTGAATCAACAGTTTTTTTTGTAATAATTGTATTTTGATGTGACATTTTTCTACCATGTTGATTAGATTCAAAAATATTTGTAAAATTTAAATGATTTCTTTTAAAGATGTATCCATGAACATGAAACATTGCTTTGAAGAATTTTTTGATTTTATTTTTTTTTTAAAGGTTAAGTTAGTAATCATAAATACTAAATTACGCAATCAGATCAAATTACATAATAATGTATTAAAACATTTTTTAGCAGATTTAAATCAAACATGATTTTTAAGATTGCGTTTTAAAACATTTGCCATCCCTAGGGTTATCAGCAAAAAGTAGTCTACTTCCTGGTTACTAAAGACAGTACTTCAAGAGAGCCAACTTTTATCAGGAAGTAAGGTAAAACCTTAAAGGATAATCTATAAAACCTTTAGGTTTAAGTCCAATCATTATTGAGTAAATTGCTTTTGCAATTAGTGTACACTTCAGGATGGGATGCCAAGGGTAAAATCAAATCATAAAGTAGTTACCTCTGCAACTAGCAGACATTACTCAAGAGAGAAACTACTCAAGCTCAAGAGGGAAGGCAAGTATAAGACACAAGATTTGATAAGAATTGATAAGAATCGATTAGAGGACTGGTTAGTTTAGAAAATCTCAATATTAAATTAATCATTAATTGTATGTGATAAATTGAAATTTGCTGCTAAAAATTTAAATATATTTTTAAAAAAAAAATAAATAAAATAAATATTAAACTTGAAGTTTTTTTTATTTTGACATAATTGATTTGGGATTTATTTTATAGTACTATAGCATTATAGTACTAGAGTATTGTGACCAATTAAAATTTAAGATCAGGTGTAATATGCAGATCACCCTTTGTATAACAAAAATAATAAATTTTTAAAAAATTAATTATATCTCAAAATTTTATTTAAAAAACTATCTTTTGTGTTCTAATAAAAAAAATTCTTTGCAAAATTTTAGTATAACTTATGCCCTGCTTAACTTTAACCCCAACTTTAATCTAAACCTAATTAAAAGTTTTATTTTTTGTAAAGGTTAGATTGTTTTGATTTACATATTACACCAATTTTGTATTTACATATAGGGTAGCACTACGGTACTATAGCACTATAATAATATTCCTAATTGATTTTACTATAATTTGTAAGGATATGTAAGAATATATAAAACTTTTGCTCATCTCTAGTAACTGTACAAGTTTTGAATACAGAAAATACAGATCCGAATCTCTACCAATTGTGCTAATATTACAATGTCTGGTTTATCAAATGAAATCTATTTAGCCATACCCAGTAGTTCTAAATTAAATCTTTTATATAATCATAAATATCTTTATTTCTTTCTTCATCCTCAACTTGTAACAGATCACAGGTTTGACATCATATTTCATTCGTATTATTCACATTACAATACATATTTCTATATTCCATTTTTAAAAAATATTATTAGTTACTTTGCTTATTTATGCAATACAAATTTTAAAAGCAAATAATTTTATACTTACCGCTAATCAAGTAATCAGAGCTAATAAAATACAGAAATAAAAAATAGTAAATATTTGTAACTTAGTTTATTTTAAATATTAAAATAAAAGATTTAGAATAAAAAGCTTTTTGAACTCATAACTTTTGTATTGTGTGATTATTACAGATAACTTAGAGAGTTAACAGATCTACTTCGATTACAGGATTACAGGAATAAGGTTATAACGTTGAGATTGACTTTAGTACTTAAAATCTGAAAATCCTTATTTTGCTAGAAATTTTCCGAATTTTCTTGATTATTATAAAAGGCATAATCTGTATCACCCAAATTTGGTAATATCCAGGACTGTAATATAGGAGTCAGAACTTGATCCTAGTCTTAGAGTATTGTTTATTAAATTGTTATATTCAAGACACATGTATTAACATGTTATTATTCTGTTATACTGATTAGGAAATAAACAATACTAACTATTTTGGTGTATATAATATTGATCTTTTGAAGAGGGTAAACTAAAATGCTCACTTTTTATAAAAATTTCTTGAAAAAAAGTAGTGGCCTAACAAAAGTATATGAGGTTCTTCTTGTAAGAGTTACAGTTGTATAGTCTAGTTTTTTAGTTTTTACTTAATATTCCTGTCTAAAGATTTATAATGACATTGCTTTCAAAATATCTTTTTGGTTTAGATATTAAAAATGTGATAAATTCTACTAAAAGCTTAACCTAAAAGCATAGTCTACTTGTTGTTTATACACCTGCTTCTCAGTATTTTATATATATAAAGTTTTGTTAATAGCAAATATATTTGTATAGTACTAGAAATATTTAGATATCTACTTTGTTGCTTTTCTATATTGTTTTTCTGTAGTTTAGTTTGTTTTGTTGTTGACTAGAAGATTGTTATTAATTTTAGGTTTTATTTTTGATTCAAAAGTTTTTTAAATTAATATAATTTTGTTAATATATATAGTTAGTATATTATTTAT